TGTTGTGTATGGTATTTTACGAGAATGAGAAAAATGCAGCGTACATGTGTGTTTGTTTTTTTTGTGATTGTGGAGAGCGAAGAGGATTGTGTTGAAAAAAGAGTGGGGGAAGGAGAGGTAATAATTGAAAATCCGACTGTCCTGTTTTGTGAGATCCCTCAGCCCCGTTGGCCTGCACTCGTAATTTTAACCGTTTCTTGCTCTCGACGACTGCCATCTTCTCCTCCTCATCCCTCTCCACCATCGCCCACTCGTCTTTCTTTTCTTTTCTCTCCCAACTCACCCAATCGCTACCTCACCTCTTCGCATCCCAGCCATGAACGCCAGTGAACTTCTTGCCAATACATTGTCTGCCGGTGGGTGCCACCCTTTTTTTCTTTCATCGCGTCTTATATCACAGATCAGCCTATCTCATATCCTCCTTTTTGCCATCCCACAGACGCAAATACGCGTCAGAATGCGACGCAGCAGCTTGAGAATGCATCGAGGGAGAACTACGTGAGTCTTGCCTTTTTTTCCAGTGCCATGCCTTTTGGCGCATCGCTTTCGTCTGTTGGCGCGCACGCACTCATAGATTTTACTCTTTTTTTAAAATTATATGTATCAAACCACATGTACACAACGACATCAAACGGGGGGAAAAAACGACGATGACGACGACGACGACTGCAGCCTGCTTATATGCTGATGTTATCGTCCGAGTTGGCGAACGAATCCTCTCCAATTCACGTTCGCAATGCCGCAGGTTTGGCTCTCAAAAACGCTCTATCCGCTCGCGTACGTAAAACAGTCATATAACGACAGCCCCCAGCCATGTCGTCGCTCTATCCTTGTCACGCTCATCGCTCTTTTTTTTCTTTCTTTTTTTCTTTTTTTGTAGGAGACCGCAAGAGCAGACGATCAGGCTAACCGATGGCTGGCGTTGGTGTCGGAATCGAGAGACAAAATCAAGCAAGAGTCTCTCATGACCCTCGGATCTCCCATCCCAAAAGCAGGCGCCGTCGCCGCCCAAGTCGTCGCCGCCATCGCCTCCGTCGAGCTGCCCCAGGAGGAATGGCCAGACCTTATCGAGACACTTCTTCGGTTCGTCAACAGCTCTAACGACTCAAATTTGAAGATCGCAACACTCCAGGCTATTGGATTTATATGCGAGAGCATCGTACGTCGCCGTTCATTCATATCCGCTTTTGTTCCCCAGTTCAGTTTGATTGTTTTAGAAACCCGAGATTTTGAGTTTGCGCTCGAACGAGATTCTCACAGCTGTTATCCATGGTGCACGGAAAGAGGAGCCGTCGTCTGAGGTTCAGTTATCTGCCATTCATGCGCTTTTCAATTCGCTAGAGTTTGTGCGCGAAAATTTCGAACGAGAGGTAATTCTTTTCGTGGGCCACACCTTGAACTGTCTTAACCACATTTTTTGTAGGGTGAACGTAACTACATCATGCAAGTTGTTTGCGAGGCTACGCAGAACCCTTCGGTATCTGTGCAAGTTGGCGCCTTTGAATGTCTAGTAAAAATTATGGCCCTCTATTATGACAAGATGGCTTTCTATATGGAGCAAGCTTTGTTTGGTGTGAGTATCAATCTTCTCATGATAGCCTCGAGTGGTACTGATTCTAGTTTTTTTTTTTTAGCTTACTGTGGTCGGGATGAAGCATACTGACGAAAGAGTTGCTCTTCAAGCTGTCGAGTTTTGGACAACCGTATGCGAGGAAGAAATTGAGCTCGCTCATGAAGCTAGAGAAGTAAGTCGCCGACATTAGCTTGTTCATATCATTCTAAATGTCCTCACAGGCCGCGGACTACGGCGAACCCCCAGAAGTCGAGTCGAAATTCTTTGCAAAGATCGCCTTGCCTGAGGTCATCCCTGTATTGCTCACCCTGCTAACTCGGCAAGAAGAAGACGCCGATGAGGACGAGTGGAACGTATCGATGGCTGCTGGTACCTGCCTCAGTTTCATGGCTCAAGCAGTTGCAGACGCTATCGTTCCTGCCGTCATTCCATTCATCGAAGCTCACATCAAGGCACAGGACTGGCATCAACGCGAGGCCGCTGTGATGACCTTCGGGTCTATCCTCGACGGGCCAGACCCTTCCGTGCTCACGCCGCTCGTGAACCAGGCCTTGCCGCTCCTTATCGATATGATGAATGATTCGAATCTCCATGTGAAGGACACGACGGCCTGGACGTTGGGTCGAATCTGTGATTTGCTTATCGGTACTATCAAGCCTGATATTCACCTGCACCCCCTCGTGTCTGCGCTCGTCAACGGCCTGCAGGATAACCCGAGGATTGTAACGAACTGCTGCTGGGCGTTGATGAACCTGGCGGATCAACTTGGTTCCTATTACGAAGATGAAGCAGATATTTCTCAAGCTGGACCGCTCTCTCCTTATTACGAGGGTGTCGTTAATGCCCTTCTTCGTGTGACGGAGACGTGAGTGCTTATACGTTTTTCCAGTTCATCATCACTGATCGGGCTTGATATCAGGGCTTCGAACGAATCCAATTTCCGTACTTCCGCATATGAGGCCATCACCTCTTACGTTACTCATGCTACGCCAGACGTCGTTCCAGTCGTTCAGAACACGGTGGTGACGATACTCGTTAGGATGGAACAGCTTTTGGGCATGCAGGTGTGTAATGTCTATTTTCATAGTGTGTGATGTCCTTGATTGATTATCTACAGAACCAAATTCTCGGCGTGGATGATCGCAACAACTGGAACGAGCTGCAGAGCAACCTTTGCAGTGTCGTGATTGTGAGTGTGAAACGATGTCACTGGTGTGATTCTATTCTGATGTTTTTTAAAAAGAGTGTTATCCGAAGATTGTCCGACGGCATTCAGCCTTTGGCTGACCGCATCATGACTCTGATTCTCCAGCTTATCCAGGCAGCGGGGAAGACATCTACTGTATTAGAAGACACTTTCTTGGTCGTCGGGGCGCTTGCATCTGGTGTGTAAAAAGTGCTCTAATTCACTTGAGCATTCCACTGACAACCGTTTCTCACTCAGTACTTGAGCACAACTTCTCGCCATATATTTCAGCCTTCCTGCCTTTCCTTTATCCAGCTCTCAAAGCTCACGAAGACACCCAGCTCTGCATGGTCGCTGTTGGCATCATTGGTGATATTTCACGTGCACTCGGCGACCAGAGCACTCAGTATGCGAGCGCGTTTATGAATGTGCTGCTAGAGAACTTGCAGAGTGAAGTGCTTAATCGTAATGTGAAGATATCTATACTATCGTGCTTCGGTGACATCGCTCTCGCTATTGGAGGTGCATTTGAACCTTATCTTGACACAACGATGGGAGTTCTGAGACAGGCGGGAGCTGTGCAGCCCAATCCTGTAAGTGATCGTTCTATTTATAGAAGTGGAGCTCATAATTAAACTATGTTTTATGATTTTTAGCTCGACTTTGACCTTGTAGATTACGTTGGACAGCTGCGCGAGGGAATCCTCGAAGCGTACACCGGCGTTGTAACTGGCTTGAAAAACACTGACAAAGGTAACATGACATTTTCTTGTCTCGTAACGTAGAAGTTATCTTTGACCAACCTTTGTTTTCCCTAGTCTCTCTACTACTCCCATATTCGCAGAGCATACTCGAACTCATCCAGCGATGCTTGGCGGATGACGAACGATCAGATTCCGTGGTGAAGCTTTCCTTCGGTCTCATGGGCGATCTTGCAGATTGTTTCCCGAATGGTCAGATTAAGCAACTATTGCTCTCAGAATGGATTGCCTCTGAGCTCCGTAGTAAACGAGGAATGCCCACTGAAACTAAGAAAACGATGCGATGGGCACGAGAGGTCTGTCCCTGCTCCCCTTTTTTCAGCCTGTACGATTATACTCACTGCTGTGCTATGTTGCAGATGGTGAAACGTGCCACCGCATAGAACACTTTCTTGTTTATTTGAGAATTTGTACATTCATTGGCCTCTTTTCTTGTTCTTCCTTTTGACTTGTTCCTCTTCCTCTTCATGTCGTTTCCGAGTTTCAGTTTGTGTGCTTTTGTGCTTTTTTCTTTTTACCCCCTCATATATCTCATTCCTTGCATGCGATCTATATTTTTTTCGTCCATTCTCGCACGTCAAATTTTTGCCATCTGAAGGAGGCACATCCATTTTTTTTCTTTTCTCTCTCTGTCATTCTCAATTTTGCAGCAGCATGTAATAGAAGACGACTACATGTCCGAACCCCCTACGACGACCTTATTACGAACAAAATCTTTCGTATTACTTGTGTGCGTTTCTGCCTAGTTATGGGCTTGCGCCATCTGTCTCTGTATCCTTTACCCCACCCTCCCAAAGATGTTTTCACACTCATCTCGTTTCGTCTTTAGGCCACACTTTACTGTTTCTCTTTCAAGTAATAAGACTGTTGGAGCTCTATGTCGTTCTATAAGAATAAACCAGTCTTGACTACCATAACCGCCATATGCGTGTCGCTTAACTTGAGCATCGACATGGTTATCATTCACAACCTGGACTGAAAAGTTGTGTCTTTCTCATTCGTCACATGTTCCACAACACTATAAAATAATGCGCTTGTATATACACTGAGTAATCCACGACAATAACTTAAGTTCACAAAGGGGAAACATATCATAGTCTACTCTCCAGTAATAACGAGTTCCGTCTCCAGCCCAGTGTGCCTTGTCCAAAGGCTGCTTCGAGTGCCTCGTTGACGGTTCTGACAAAGACGAACTGCATCTCGCTCCGGATCTCGGGTGCGACATCGTGTTCGACATCCTTGCGGTTTGCCCAAGGGAGGATGACCTTGCGTATTTGAGCGCGGTGCGCGCCGAGGACCTTCATGCGGATTCCGCCCACAGGTGTGACTCGACCGCGGAGAGTGATCTATCAATTAGGGTGAGAAATGGATACGCGACGTAATATCCTTTAATTCTGCTCACCTCGCCAGTCATCGCAACATCTTTCTGAACGCAGGCCCCCGTGAGCAACGAAACAAAGGCACACGTCTAACCAATAGACATCAATCACAGGTCTCTCGCAGAATCCTGACAAGAGATAAAAAAAACTCACCATTGCAATCCCGGCACTCGGTCCATCCTTCTTCTGTGCACCAGCTGGTAGATGCAGATGTATATCGATTGGCTCAGGAACCTTTAGCGGATCCTGGCCCCTACTCGTGGTGATTCCCAGCTCAAATGCATGCGTTTTCACCCAGCTCAACGCAATCTCTCCGCTCTCCTTGATCACGTCTCCCAAGCTCCCAGTCAACTTCAGTCGGCCAGCTCCGGGTACTGCTGTGCTCTCCACGGGAAGTATGCCACCCTCGCCCATGCCGGTGACGACAAGACCATACACCACTCCGCGCTTTTCTTCCCGCTCCCTTTCTTCTCCATCCCAACGAGAGATCCCGAGGATTTTCTCGAGTTCGTGTTCTTCCACAATCCCTCGCCACGTCTTCCCCACGACTGCTTTTTCTTGGTTAGTCGAAGCCTCTTCCTCAGCCAAAGCGTCGAGGTGTTCCGCCCACTCAACCGCCTTGAATCTCACGACGGCACCGATGGCACGCTCGAGACTCCGCACACCTGCTTCACGCGTGTATTGTGTGGCGATGTGCAATAGTGCAGACTCGGTCAGCTTTAGGTGGGAGGTAGAAAGACCATTGGCTTGTAGTTGCTTCGGGAGAAGGAATCGACGCGCAATGTGCATCTTCTCATCATAGGTGTAACCTACCATGATAATAAAGTATCTCAGAAAATTATATGCAGTAGTATGACCACCATCGGTTGGCTCACCAGATAATTCCACGACCTCGCAACGATCTAATAATGGTGCAGATATTGTCTCCAAAGTATTGGATGTGCAGATAAATAAAACCTGGCTCAGGTCTATTGGGACGTTGAGATAATGATCCTATGTAGGCAGATTTACCATGAGACCACGAGCCATAATTGACATGAAAAATACTCACATTGAATGTATGGTTTTGCTCTGGATCCAGGACTTCAAGCAAAGCGGCAGCAGGATCCCCGTGGAAATTATTGTGTCCAACTTTGTCGATTTCATCGCTACACAAAATCCATCATGTAAACCGTATCATGTCTTTACTTGAGATCAAAACTTACAGCAACATGACCATGTCTGGTCTTCCCGCTTTCCTCAGCGCTGAAACAATCATTCCCGGGCCACTGGCCACGTATGTCCGCCTGTGTCCACGAATTTCGGCCTCGTCGCGAACACCACCGAGAGATATGCGCTGGAAGGGTCGGTTCAAGGCTTTTGCAATTGATTGACCCAAAGACGTTTTGCCCGTCCCAGGGGGCCCAACGAATCTAAAAGTTTAAGCGTAAGCAGACCTATCGATATCTACACATTGAAATCTTACAAAAGTATAGGCCCTTTAACACTCTTCACGGCAGGTCGGGGTTTGGCTGGTATGGGCATGGGCGTTGGCACGTGCCCCTGCACAGTTATCGCGGGCACGAGGGCAACGCTCTTCTCTGGTACAACATCGCCGGAAGCTTTCCCATCCCCACCTTCCTGCCGCCTTTCTCGGATCTGCACGTCCCGAAGCTGCTCCCTCTCCATTTCTGCTGCTATACTCATGTGCTTTAGTCTCACTACTGCAAGATATTCAATTAACCGCCGTTTAATTTGGTCTAGCCCGTAGTGGTCTGCATCCAATTGTTGCCTACAGAATGAAATTAATAACGATATAGCGCAATTCGATAGAACAGCAATAATAATGATGCCTACCGAGCTTTATTCAAGAAGCCAGGATCTTTGAGAATCTCGAAACCTGTTGAAGGTTGAGCAGAACTCGATGGCCAAGGTATAGAGGTTAGCCATTCCAACTGTTTATCGAGTATTAGCCAAAATTAAAGACAGACAAATGAGTATATGCGCACATAAGTTCTTATAACGCCGTTCTCTACACTGCCTTGCGGGATACGCTTTAGCCTCCGCCATTCCCTTACACCGACTTTTCTTTCCTCCGAACCTGGCTCCATTGCTTCAATTTTGCGCTTAAGGTCAGCCATATCGTCTGCATCATGCTGCTCGTCGTCGTCCAGTTCAGACGGTGGTCCACTTTGCGCGCCTGACGACGAAACGAGGGTGTGTAATTCGCGCTGGATGGCAGCAAGTTGCTGGCGCAAGAAGTATTCTTTCTGTTGCCTTGAGAGGGATTCGTCCACTGCGGAAGCAATTTTCTTCGATACTTCGGATATTGAAGTTTGCTTCACGAATAGTTCTGTCGCACGACGCAGTCGGTCTTCTACGTCAGTAGCAGCAAGAAAAGCTGATTAAAATATTAATCAGAATTAAAAGCGGAGACTGTTCAAGAGTTTTTCGACTTGCCAAGTTTATCACTGTACTGTCCGTTGACAGCCGCTACCAGAACATCTGCCATCCACGCGGCCCTCTGATCAGATATATCTTCGACCATATTAGCGACTTTGAGCCAGTCGTCTTTCCTCTGGGGCTGCACCGAATCTTTCGCCAGTCTGTCTAGGAGTCTAAGCGCAGCACCCTTGAAAGCCTCGACAGTCTCCCTTGATGGCATTCCATCGGCTGAGGGGTACTCGACCGCATGGTCTGGGAACGAATCGAGGGAGTTTACGTCGAGCTCGATGGGCGAGGCAAGACGAATGCGTGTAAGACCGTGAAGAGAAAGTAGATACGGTTGGCGAGGTGAACCGGGGGATGAGAGGGTACGAGGTCTAACGAGGCGCACGACACGCGCAGCGGTGCCACATTGCGGAAGAACAGGATCTGAGGGGAGTGCAGAGGACGTAGTAATGGGGACAGCGGCAAGAATGGGCTGTCCGGCGTCGGTATCATCGATGAGGGCGAGAATAGCATCAGCGAGAGTGCGGTTTATAGGAATGGTGAGGCGTGCGGTAGGGAGCAGAATGAGAGGATGGGGAAGGGGAAGGACGGGAAGTCGGGGGGAAGGCATCTGTGCGTCGTTATATGCGAGCTCGTCGTTGTGTACGATGTGCTCGTGTCGTTGTCACTGTTGTCGTCGTTGTCGGTGATTAGTATTGAGAGCGGAGAGCGGAAAGTAAGAAAGTGGAGAAATGAGGGGGAAGATAACCGAACTGTATTCGCCAAATTGGGCCAGTTCTGTGAGAAAATTCACGTGTGCCATCGTTTTGCCGAGGATCTTGACAAACAAGAATTCAGACTTTCACGTGTATGTTCTGTTCCTCAATTTCGTAGTAATTTATTCGTTGCAACTTACTCTTGCTCGCTGTCGCTGGCGGTCCACACGTCGCTTCGCCTCATAGCAACGCGCTCTCGCCATCGTCTCAGACAGCGTCGACGCCTGCTGCTTTCGACTTCCAGACGTGGGCCACCCTAACTCCGTGGTTATCTTTACTTCAAGCTCTTTGGACTGTTCCATTCAGGCCCTGTCCATTTGGCCTCTTCTGCCGTCCGGTTGCCTTGATGGACTGTCACGGTGACCACGAGGTCGATGATTAGACGTCCATATCTCTATAGGCATGCTGCACTTGAATCCATATCCCCTTTCGTTACCTGCCTCTCTCTTGCTAGTGTATGCTTTGCGTTGAGACGTACACACACCTTTCGTATTCCGTGTGCTCCCGGTTTCACGATTGGACCGTGGTATCTCTCTCGTGGCTGCTTATTATGTACTCTATACCTGTCAACCATCTTACCGTATCCGTATCCATCAGATACACGAGAATAGTCACAATAAGGGACTGCCCATTGCAGAGCAGTACCGCACCTTTTGGAAGCTCGATTATGATCCGGTATGGGCGCATTCTATATTATATTCTTACACACTCAGGGATTATGTACGTGCTTGTATTATGTATCGTTCTGCAGCTGACTTCGTCCAAGAAGCAGAACCGTCAAACCGCGATACAATTATCATATATCTCGGACCTGCTCCTCCAGCCACGTCCAAAGTTTTCTTCCTTCCTCAGGGTCATTCGTGCTCTCAATCGCAGAACTGACCTTGACCCATGGGACGAGATACTAACACATCGATATTATCTGCATCAGGTCGAATCGACAAGCAAGACAACACATCCTTACCTTGCCGCCAAGGTTAACAGCTTCAGGAACAGTACCAGCATAAAGTTGATTGAGGGCACCATGTGCGACATCGTATAACATCAAGTCCTATGTTTCAAATGCAGTGGTAGAGACGCGTTATCAGTGTCAGAAGATATAAATACAAGTACCGCAACCACATACCGATATCCAACTCCACTTGCTGGCATGTCTTAGTAGCTCTGTCTTGATTAAACCCGGATGCAGTGATGTCGACACAATGCCTTGAGCTCCATAGCGCCTATGGAGTTCCAGCGCGAACACAACGTTACCGAATTTACTCTGTGAGTACAACATCATCGTTCCTTTCTTTTTTCTTTCTGGACCGTCTCTGACCGTCGCATAGTCAAGGCTGCCGAGCGAGTGTCCCGCCGACGAAGTGTTCACTACCCGCACCTTGCCATCAGGTGAACTCTGGGCAGAAGACAGCAATAGCGGAAGGAGCAGCTGAGTGAAGAAGAAATGTCCCAAAACATTGGTTCCAAACTGGAGGTCGTATCCGTCGGCTGTAAGCTGTTCGATAGGGGGAATCATAACGCCTCTGATGGGGAGGGGTATTATGAATCAGCGTATGATAATTTGATGCATGTGGATGTTACTTACCCATTGTTAAATAGCACGTCCAGTCGGGTCTCTTTACTATCACGCAACATGTCAGCCAACGCACAAAAAACTTGAATGTTCAACGTCTGTACGACCTACCTGAGAAACTCTTGAGCGGAAGCCTTGACACTCTTCAAATCCGCGAGGTCGAGCTTCAAGAACAACGCTTCCTTCCCTGTTGATTCTCTCAGATCATCGATAGCCTCTTGTGCCTTGGACGGATTTCGCGCAGCGAGATAAACTTTGGCATTCTTCACCAGCAGTGCCTAAGAACCGCAAATCAACGTCACGGACCCTAACAGAGGTGTTCAGAGAGACGTACCCTAACAGTCTCTCTGCCTATACCTGCATTACCGCCTGTTACGATAACCACCTTGCCAGACATATCTGGAATTTTATCGGCAGCAAAATCTGTCTTCGTCGGACAGAGAGTCTGGAGATGGTGGCCAATAGCAGAAGGCATGCCGTGTATGATGGTGATGTGACGAGTTATAGAGGTGTTGTTTGCTTTGGAGTAATGAATAGCTGGCTTTCTCAACAATCTCATTTTATAGGCTCACGAGTGCCATCTGCCATCGTAAGCAAAGCGCCGACGGCAGCCCAGGTACACTTTGCCACTATGCTAATCTCATCCCGTGGGTTGAGAAGCCCATTGGCCGTTCGACGAATGTTGACGTTAGCCAGGCGGCTAGAGGGAAGGCAGAAGTACGCGTTCGTGCGGCAAGACCATTAAAGGCAGTGTGATAGACTGTGCCCTCGCACAGCCACTTACCGCGTTCCCCCGGTGGGAGAAGGCTCTTTGTCGGAGTGAAAAGTACATCTCCATATTTTCGAATGTCTTTCGTCGCCCATTCGAATCAACGCTGCTCATAGCAAGGATTCTGTTCGGGTATGAGACTGTCACGCGTCTGTCACACTTTGCTCCTGGTCACCTGATTGATGTTCGGCATGGTTGTTACCACGAAACTACTAGTTCAAGTTCAAAACAATGGGATGAGCTACAAAAACATGATTCGCTTTCATTTCATACGTACGTACATGGGGTGATATAAAACACTCATACGTAGTAGACATACAGTCCTATCAATGCTCATAATGATTTAAAGATATAACAGCGGGTCACAAAAGACAAAGGCTGCAAGCGCATATGACGCTTGAAGGGATATGCATGTGCGTAAGACGGGGTATCCAGATGGTGATGACGAGCCTTCAGTATCAACACAGCAGAGTAACGGACGACAGCAAAGTGAGTAAAAACACTGCGAAAACGAAGATGATAATATCAGTTTTAAGAGCAAAAATAATGTGCAACGAAGTCAAAAGCAGGGAGCGCAGGGTCCATATTTACCATAATGTGCGTGAATGAAGAGTGACTGTGCCATAAACGCGGATTCTATACAGGCTGGCAAATCACAGCGAACTGGGTGGGATTATCTGGGAATTAAGCTGGCACCAAGTTGGTCCTCCTCATGGATTTAGTGGGTCCAGCAGGTGTATCATCCATGTTCTCCTTTTCATCTTGCTCGCTTGGTGTAGAAGCTGCACTAAATCTTCTGACGCCTGCTTGAAATTTTTGAGATTGATTCAGCGACGATCCAGACGTTTTGCGCATGGTGCTTGCTGTGGGCGTGGATGGCCCCGACCGCACAGTGGTAGATCGTAAGAGAGAAGAAGGGAGCTTTGTACTAGCCGGTGTAGGCGTGCCTGATAGAGATGGTCGAGAGAATTTGGCTGGAGGAGGTCCCATGCTCCCTGCAACTTTAGAACCCGAAGCAGCGTTCATACGGGCACTTTTGCTCAAAGCTGATAAGCCAGGCCTCGCAATTGCCGAAGGTGGATCGGAAACTTTCCGTTCTTTGAGCCCGTCTTTACTAACATCTGACAATGCGGATGAGGGCCTCGATGTTGAGGGAGTAGAGAAGGGTGCTGATTCACGGCTTCTAGGTTGGATTTTTGAAGGTTGTGCTGGTGTACTCCCTGCAGTGCCACGCATCCCCGCCTTCCTTTTGAGCTGCATATTCGTTTCGCGTTAGCAAGACATACAGACTCTAAAAGCTAGTGCTTACCAGTTCCAGTTCCTGTTGCTTTGAATCAAGTGCAATATTCAATCCATTCAGGTCTTCCTTATCCTGGGACCTCTGCTTCGTCAATTGCATGACCTTCACTTCCTTATCCGCGCTTTCCTGTTGTAATTCGTGGATCTGCCTTCTCATTCTTTCGACTTCGTCTTTCAGCGCATTTACCCTCTCCTTCAGGGTACCAAGCAAAACGTCCGACTCGGCCTTCTCCTTAATCATCACCTCCATTTGTTCTCTGGCGTCCTTCTCCTGCATGATCATTTCCTCGAGCTCTCGCTTGTGTTCGTCCAACTGGTGGGCGTGACTTCTTTTCTGATTTGCCAATTGCTCCCGTATTTCTTCGACTTGAGCTTCGCGCTGAACTACGCGTTGCAACAGCGTATTAATTTCGGTATTACATTTCTTGATGTTCTCCTCCAGTCTAGAAATGCTCTCTGAGCTGTATTGCCTTTCCGATTCAAGCTTTGCAACGTGGTCTTCACGTTCCTGCAGGGCCTGCGTTAGGTGATCGGCGTGCTCACGCTCGCTTCGCAATTGTTCGTTGAGCTACGTAGCATTAGTACAAGTAAATGATAAGAGCGTTCAGACAAACCTCTTCATGCTCCTTCTGCGAAACCTCCGTTGCGTCAAGTGCTTCCTGCAACTCATTTTCTAGGTCGATTCTGTGGTTTTCATGATCGTTCCACTCCTCTTCCGTAAATTCTATTCGACGTTCAAGTGCTTCGATTTCTGTTTTCAAGGCGTCACGTTCTTTCACCAGGCCTTCCACCTTCTCTCCAGCCGATTCGGTGTGCTTCCATTGGGCTTCTAGTTCATTCTTCAAGACATCGTACTCCTCAGTCTTCCGGGTGACAAGGTCCCGGTACGCCTCCAGCTCGGACAACAGGTCGGCATTTTCCTTTTCAAGTTGATCCCGACTATTCTTTAGCTGTTTACGTTCTTCCGTCCATGAAGATTCTGCGTCCCGATGACGCTCTCGTTCCTCTTCACCGGCTCGTTCCGTCCTGGCCATCAGAGCTTTGAGCTCATCGTCCCCATCCGTGACACCCATCTGCTCGATTTGTTCCTTGGCTTCCCGAATACCATCCTGCAACGCCCTCTGGCTGTCATCCCTTCTTTTGAGCGCTGATTTGAGTTGTTCAATCTCGTCATCTCTGCCCTTGAGGGTTACCGCAAGTACTTCCCTTTCGGCTCGCGCGGAAGCCTCCCGATTCTCGACGTCACCTTTCTCTCGCTCAAGGTGTGATATTTGTCTGTGCAGCTGCCTGAGAGCTTCGCTGCTGGCCTCATCCATCACACTCCGCTCCATACTTTCCTGACGGCTTAGGTCGACCTCTTCTTCGAGGTGTCTGCACATTTTCTCCAACTCTGCAGCCTTCTTTTTCCATGTCCGCAATACTCCTTTCCGCTTGTCGTTCTCTTTCTCTGCATTGTCAAGCCTGGACGTTAAAACCTGAACGAGCTCGTCTCGGGCACTCAAGTCAATCTCGAACTGGGCGCACAGCTCCTGTTGCAAAGCTAATTGAGTCCTCAAGGACCAGATGAGGTCCTCTTCCCGGGATGTTTTACGCATGTGCGTTACTCCTTTAGGAGGCGTGGTAGGAATCATTGTTTGCGGAGTGTAATAGGTAGTTGCATTGACACGAAATGGATCAGGCTCAGGGCTTGCGTATACGACCAATGCGGATGTAGAATCGTCCTCGATGTCTGCTTCTGGAGATTTTTTGGGTTTAATGATGGATTGGAAGACAGTGTCGCTCATTGCGCGACTACGATTTTTAGTCGCAGGAGAGGCAGAACGCTCGCTGTTGATGAGACTCGACTTCACTGAATCTGTGGGTGACAATTTTCCCATTGAGTGGAACATGGTTTGGCCAAAGCTGAATGATAGGCTGCGATCATGTTGCCCAGAGGCTGAATCTCCATCACGCTTCCCTTCCTGCTCCTTAAATGGAGTAGATGTGATGGTGCCCTTGATGGAACCGTTATCTCCGTTAGGCATATCCATTGCAGTGTCGAGCAACAAGGGTTCGGAATACATAGGGATGGTGGGCAGTTCATGTTCCTGGGAAAGGTCGAAAATATTACTCTCGTTCGGCACAGGAGGAGGCACCATGAACGATAGGATATCTGACGATGGAGTAGATGCAACTTCCTCCTCGTGAGGAGGAAAAAGCTCCATAGCGGAGGGACGTAGAGGACGAGAAGAGTCTGCTTTCTCGATTTGAGCTTTATGCAGACGGTCTGCAAATGAGATAGGGTCTGGATTGCTGTCCATGGATACCTCGGGGCTTATCACTTTATAAGCATCACGAGAGAAGAAACGAACATTCTGGCCTGTACCAGGCGTCTTGGGGTCACGAAGGATAGAACGCACTGACCCGTATTTCATGTCCAGCACGGGTGTGGCTAGTCCCTGCATACTTTCTAAGGAGGGTCGCGATGGGTCCTGAGGAGAACGCAATGTGTCGACGGAAGGACGAGTCGTTTCTACGGAACCACGAGCTAGGGAAGATTGAGAACCTGGAACGAAACTTGTGAAGATACAGTTTATGGTATGTATATACTGGCGGCTTACTATTTCCCCTGAGTTGCAAATGAGATCTCACTTTCTTGGGAAGTCCAATGGGGAGTTTGAGTGGGGAGTCGCTATCGTCGCCCTTTGGTATTTTCGACATACGTTTGAACATGCCACGGCGTGAATGTTTCGACGGTGAACCCGGGGGACTTGGTGTTGGAAGTGGGGCGTCTACATCTGCATTATGGAAGACAGACATGTTGGGATGCTGCTCGTATACTCTGGATAGGACATCAGCTTGAGCGTGTGGGATCGATGGTTCAGCTTCTTGCTCATTGCCCTGCCGAGGCTTGAGGGCATTGCTTATCTTCGACCACATGATACGTGCTTGAAGTGGAAAGAAGTGTCGAGGGCGTCGAAGGCGACGGCGAGCGAGCTAGCTTCTGCTGAATAGCGACTATTAGTGTGCAATTTGAAACGTGAGCGCGAGAATAGTGAACTGAAAGGCCACTTTTGACCTTTACGCGAGATCACGTGACAGTTGAACTTGCGAGTCGCGTTGGGCCACGTGATCATTCTCAGGGCCCTTTCAGAGCGCGACGGTGTTCTCTTCTACACCGCCATTTTTGGTCGGAGTCTCCCAAACATTTTACTACGAGAGAGCAGGGCCGATCTCCGACGGCAGGGACCTTGTTTACATTTTCAGTGTGATTTTGCGGTGGGTATATATCATATGATTTAGTGTGTTCAAGGATACAGTGTTGCAAACTTGAGTATGGTTAAGAAGTATAAGAGACAAATTTATAGTTTATATGCATGTATCATAATGAGCTTTGTTCAGTATTATGCTCATATGCTTCTGCATCATTTCCACCATTGTTTAAGAGTTTACAGTTGTGATCTATGACTTGTTTCCATTTCACTCACTGATATATGAACTAGTTGACTGAGGACATGTCATCCACCTGCTGCCATCATCTGGTATCCACAAATGTAAGTCTTGCATAAGCTTATATATACAGCTAAACATAACCTCTCTTAGAATACCGGTGGGAATGGAGCCACTAAAACTACCACTGGCATTCATGGTTCACTTATTCCTCAACCAGTGAGTACTTATAGCTTGCTGTTAGTTAGGGCTCCCATACATTTTGTATCTTGAGCAGGTCAACAAAAAGTCCCATGTGACAAAGCAACTGACACCTCTGAATGATGCCCAGTCCCAACTACCCTCAAAGTCCAAAGCCCACCCTTGTTGGTACAATTGATAAGACTGAGGATATCTTTAAGCACCGACTTGCAAAAGGTTTAACTATGAACACGCCAGTGCAAAATGATGCAGATAGCTCATTCTCCTCATCTCTTTTCCTTCACTTCTTGAAGGACTCAAAAACAAGCTTCATATAGGTGACATTAATGAAAATGAAGACAATCAGATAATGTCTAGTGGTAAGGACATCCTTTCTGAGTGAATCTACCCATATATTGACACAATAAGCTAGATCCATCTGACAGCAACTTCAGCACTACAGAGCATGCAATCAGAAATAAAGCTGCAATCAGAAATATTGTCGTAAGGAAAATATTTACAGTTTTTACTCGCAAGGCAAGACATTGCCAGCATGTTTGACAGCTTACAAGGAGGGGGAAAATGAGGCAATGGGAATATACACCACAAACAAATTGTCATCCACCGGAGGGGAAGCTAATTACCATGATGACAATGACAATTATGCAGAAGATGGGTACTATCATACTGAAGATAACAATGCTGCACAGAATGAAGATGATATTGTGCAAGGACTGGACAAAGGTTCCTAGTCATCTATCTTGTCAAGCGCTACTTGAAGTGGATGAATTCACAAAAGGCAATTTAGAAAAGGCAGAATCACTTGCAAGAGTATTTGGCAAGTTTTGTTGTGATATCCTTATTGCTGCTGGATTTTCTGCCAAAGTGTCAAGAGGTGAAAATAGGGCCAACATGTTCTGCTGCTGGTTCCGGGCAACTCAGGAAAAGCCTGTTAGTCGTGAGTGCTCTAGCAATTTATATATTTATATTTTCTAACCTTTCCCTTAGTCACAAAAATATAGACAAATCCCAGAAGGGGATAAAGTCAGTACAGGACAGGGATATCTGAACAGCTGCACAGGAGGATCCAAATTGTACTATTATGCTATTAATGACTCAGCATCAAAATGCTCCTGAAGTATACTGAGGTCATTTTTATAAGAGATAAACACAGCAGGTTAGTTCCAAGTGTGGCATAAAATACAATCATACTTTCTTCTACATATTGCACTGGCAATGTATCCACTTGAGTCACCCATATTTGGGGAGTTATTAGCTTGATTATCACAACCACAGCATTGGGGCTAAGAGCCCTTAAATAGGTTAAAGGGATAATCCCTCCACTGACCTTGATTACAGGGAAGGGATTATCCTTAGTGAACTTCAATCATAGAGATGGGATAATCCCTAAAGAGAACTTCCCTGTTAGCAACAAACCCTTAAGAAGTGAGGGGATATTGTACAATAAATCCTTTGAAAAAGCAGTCAACCAAATCTATTTCTACTTGTGTCACTGAGGCCAGAAATTGGCTCACATCTTTGGTGAGTTTTTGTTTTTTAACTAAGATTCCTAGTCATCAGCTCAAAAGTATTTCCATAGCATGTGAACCAAATCACATGACCTATGGGGCAATTTTATAGCCAAGAGTATATACAATTTATAATTCCACCAAAGCTAAATGTAACACTCAAGCTGTTTGATGGTATGCTTCATACATGATACCCAGAGTTAACATGGAAAAGGTTTTTGGAGTCACTGTACTTTGAATGATGTATGTGCAAGTTTGATTTATTCAGTGCCATAGTTGCCAAGAATAACACTATATTCTTCCTTTTGATCTTTATGGTGTGGTGTAAGTTTCTGAAATGGGCATATATTGCTGAGAATGATGTGTCAATGATGAAGACTGTTGCTAGAAAACCACACACAAAAAAACAAACTAACACACAATCTTCCCAGATTCCACGGAACTTGTTTATGGGCTTTGCCTCCTAGAATAGTGGAGTGGTCTGGTTGTTCGTGGGGTGGTACGTATAACGATCCTTCAAAGTAAAACCCAAAGATGTATGGGTGTGTGGTTTTGAGGAGGAGGGATAGTTGGAATGCAGAAAGATAAGGGCTGTGTGGCGAGTATAGACGAGCACTACCTTGTTAATAGTAGCACAAGGTGTAACAACCAAGAGTTATTTACTCTGGCGCACACAGGAACACACTATAAAGAATATGATGGGGAGTGGTTACCCCTTAGGCTGCAGTGAGTTAGTTGTGCTAGACAACAGGAGGACTCGCTGGGTCCTTCCCCATGTATTGCTCCTGTATATATACTAAAATACATGAGGTACTGTACAGTTGTAAATAAAGTTTAAGGTCCGATATCTAGCATGTGACCGGTCACATGATGAGTCTAGACACTGGTCAGGTAATGTGTCACATGACTGGTCATGTGACTATGAAAAGTCGAAAATGTAAAGTAAAGTAAATGGTCACATGACTGGTCATGTGACTTGGAAAATAAAAGTAGAAGTACAAAAGTGAAGCGTAAGTAGGTGCTGGTATGTCAATTGTAACACAAGGTAGGTTTGAGACTGACAATATGATGAGGTGACAAAGTTCCCAGTGATAGCAGGCTCCTGACGCACAGACTGTAGTGCTCAGAAGGACTCTAATTGAAAGGGATGACAATCACTTTCAAAAGTGGGAAGTGACAATGACAGCAATTAACAGTGGTAGCAGTGGTCTGGTTGTGACCACACTGGATCACAAGTAGCAGTAAGAAGTGGACTTAAGATTAGAGAAGAAGTCTGGAATCGAGTTCTTGTTTTTTTTACAAGGTAAAATACAGGGGTTTATATAGTAAAAGAAAAGTAGGCTATGCACTGTTACGATAACACAATTTCCGGACATCTCCTTTCCTTTTTATTCTCCGCTTTAACTTTATACTTTAAGTACCACGTGGCATTTCCCTTTCTCGCGCCGCGTTGCCTTTCTTTTACTTTTAGACTTAACTCTCTCACGCAGTGGAGCTGGCCATACGGGCTAGACCCTATAACATCATCAGCCACTGCCTTCATCAACTGTATAGTACACATGTACAAACAACCTGTAGTAGTATATATACCCCAATAGATACAGGAGACTCCTCAGCGAGTCCTCCTGTTGTTAACCAACAAACTCTCTGCAGCTCAAGGGGTAACCACTCCCTCTTCATTTTCTTTATAGTGTGGTTCTGTGTGCGCCAGAGTAACTAACTCTTGGTTGTTACATGCACAGTATAGCTGTGCAAAAAGAATGAGAAAGAACATGAAGGAAGGAATGTATGCTGACAAATCCTGCATAGGTAGTACAGGATAAGATTGTCAAAAAAGGAAAAGGAAGGGATAGAACAATGAATGCTGTGAGTAATGTCACAGGTTTGTACAGCCATAAAGTAAAGTCCAATAGCAAAAAGAGAGCAGGAAAATCATGATGTCATGGGAAGATGGAGTAAAAAAAGGGCAAGGCAAAACACTATCAGTATCAACACAGTTCCTTTATTGTCAGTCAGGCATTCTAAAAAATATGTGTCCATAAAAATGATTCAAAAATCAAAAATAATTGCACTGTAAATGAATGTTCTGCTGAAAAAAAAGAAACTGGAGCCACCGGTCCACCACCTAGTCCAATTCCGACAGTTCCATGGCCTTACCAATGGACTGGTTGTGTTGGACCACCTGATCAAACGAGGGAGGGAGAGGAGTAGTCCCAATTTGGAACAAGTGAATCCCAGGCAGCGTGTGGTAGGTGTAGCTGTAGCGAAGACGATGGACAAAAGATATGTGTACCCAAGTGAATGGGACAGCAATGAACATGGGCAACGCAAGGGGATGAACCTTCTCCAGCTCAAAAACTACCCACCCATGCTCCAGCTAGGCAAGACAAGCGGCCGATGTTTTGATAGTATATGATGGTAGATTGATGTCATAAAGATGGACCTGTTGCCCTATTTGAACCGGCCGCCGGGGCTTTGCTGATATCAGCAATGGCATGTGGTAGTCGACGGATCGGCAATGGAAGCGGATAAGAAGTGGTGACATCAGAAATAGTGGGGGAGCAAAGAAGACAAGGAGGAGGAGGCTGGAGGTGACGAGGAGGCGAACTAAAATGGGGATCCAGAAACGACCATCGGGTGAGAATAAAAATGAGAGTAAGGGACCCATGGTGTCACGACTTGAACCAGAAGCGCTAGTCTGAGCGCTAAGTTTCTTTTTCTTTTTCTTTTACATCTGATCACATGACAGATAAGATATGTTAAGCTGCTGCTTTAGCGCGGATAACATAATACCTAGTTATATCAGATCACGTGACCACCACGTGACACGAGTCTAGAATTATTACAAAGAACATCAGTCAGCGCCTCATGGCTACTGCATGTTAGCTCAGTCAGCGCCTCATGGCTGACTTTCAGAAACATATATATAGTAGACCATCATGTACATACTTTCCTCAGTTGTTGATTAATTCTCAATCGCTACTTGAAAACGCTACTTGTTTGATTTAAGCTTTTATCCCTCCGTTAACTCGGTATAGGGGATAGAGGTTTTACACAATCAACAACTGCTACAAGTACCGTTTATGAACTTAACAGCAACAATCCTAACAACCATCATCGTCACCATCATCATCATCCTACTAATCCTAACCCTACTCAAACACTCAACCCAAACTACCACTACTCTTCCACTCCATCACATCCCTACTCGCCCCGACACCATCTTATCTTTCTTTCCCGCCAACGTATCACCTTCCTCATCCCAAGACTCCTTCGTAACCATCCCCCTATAAATACATTTATATCACTATAATCTCTTTGGTGTGGAACCATTGGGATTTTCTCGGTTTTACCTAGTTTCATTTTCGATTTCCTCTGACCAGGCCGCGCATTTGCGTCCGCCAGTCGGGAGAAGGACTGAAAGCTTAATAAGCTGGTCACATTGGGACAACCGTTCGGACCCCAATTTATCACTATACTTTTTACATAAAATTCATAAAATACAAAAATAGTTACCATACCTACATAGTCAGTAGTGGGCTGAAGAGGACCACTTTGACTCAAAGAGAATAGATAGACTACTAGGATCTTAGAAAGCGGTGTATCGATCCAGCTTATCACTGGTGAACTCCTTTCTATGCTTAGTAGAGACTTTTACATTTGGATCGGAGAGCAACACATTTACTCTCAAGATTACGTATTCAAAGGGAAATTCCCTTTACCAGAAATAGAACCCATCAGAATACCATCCCCTTTAATCAAATCCGAAACTCCCCCTCCTCCCCAACTCACGTTTAATGTCCAACCTAGAATATCGTGATCTGCCCGAGCCATCCAACAGCACGGACAGCGCATTTACCAGGGACATGATGGACGCATTACCCAGAACAGACACTCCCCCCCCGAAAGAAGCGCGATTGGAAGCATACGTAAAACAAGAAGTAGAAAAGGCGATAAGACAAACGCAAATGCATTACCAATCGCAGCTAGACGAGGCACTCGAAGAAGTGAGCGTCTTGCAAAGAAAACTAAAGAAACAGATACCGCCACCTCCAGAAAAGGTGGAAAGAAGTAGAACGGCACTGGAGAAACCCGAGAACTTCTCCGGAGATAAGAAAAAGTACAGGGCCTTTAGAGAGTCCTTATTACTGCATTTCGAAGATGATGCCGTATATTTCAAAGATGATCGAAAGAAGATAAGCTTTGTGCTATCTTTTATGAAAGAAGGAGAAGCCGCGGCCTTCCGGACCGATTGGCTAGAGAACCGAGTCGATGCCCAACAGTTGGGGCTCGATATTACAAACACGTACGGAAGTTGGCCGTATTTTGCGGACAAAATGGAAGAAAGGTTCAAGGACAGTTTTGAAAAAGAAACTGCCAAGAACGAAATACTGACCCTGAGACAGGGCAATGAAACCGCCCAAGCCTTCTTTGAAAGGTTTGAAGAGAAGAAAAGATGGGCGGGATACACAAATAGAATAAATGAAGAGTTCCTAGTATCTTTACTCAGAAGGAATATGAACAAGCCGCTAGTAGATAGGGTGATCTATGGCGGGCACATTCCAAGAGATTACCAAGAATGGAAAAGGGAACTCATCAGAATAGACTATATTTGGAGAGAGAGAGAAAAAGAGAAAAAAGGTTCCGATACTGGGAAGAAACCCTATTCGGAACAAAAGAAAGAAGGAGAGAAGAAGAAAGACGGAACCGGATATACCTATACCGGTAGCGGAGAAAGAATGGAGGTAGATAAAGCAAAGTTCCGCACGGAGGGACGATGCTACCGATGCGGAGAAAAGGGACATAGAAGCTTTGAGTGCAAAGACGCACAAAAAAGGAAGCCACAAT